GGTGGGGGTGGGGGGGGGGGGGGGGTGGTGACATCAGGTCCACGAGGACATTTAGCAGACGTGAAATCTCTCACATGGTATCATATCACATTAACCCTTAGAGGCTGCGAACTGGCATCAGCTCCGCTTGCACGTTAATCTGCTGTGAAATCAGATAGTATCTTCTAGTGTTAACCCTTCAGAGGCGTCATATCAATTTAACCCTGTATAGGTGCCAAATCAAGTTAACCCTTTTGATGCGTCATATTATTTATAGAGGTGTCCCATCAAGTTAACACCTTAAAGGGGTCATATCAAATTAACCCTGCATAGGTGGCCATCTCAGGTTAACCCTTTAGAGGCGCCAAATCAAATTAACCCTTTAGAGGTGTCACATCCAGTTAATTACTTTAAGTTAGGTCACATCAACTTAACATCCTGACGCGTTCCCTTTAGGGTAAAATTTCGATAGGCACAAAGAGGCGACCACTTGAATTTCTAGACAGGGCCTCATCTCATGTCACATGGGTAAAGAACAAGTGGCTGGTCTAGAAAACATGGAGAAACTAGAGCAGGAAATATATCTATATATATAATTCTCTTCTGGGAGACGTTAGAAAACAAGCTGTAAACGCGCTCCCTACCACCCCCACCCCTACATGGTCTGGTGAGCTGTGGTTCACTCTAAATGTTTACAAACAGAGCCGGGTTTAGTGACGACTATTAGGGACAGATAATTTAGTTTGAAACGATTTTAAACTAAAAGGAGTTTACTTTAACGGAGGGGGGGGGGGGCGGGGAAGGAGGGGGGGGGTTATCGTCCTTAACGAGCTACTTATAGTGCTTTAAAGAAATATTTTCAGTGGCAGCGTTGGTAGTGTCGAATTCACAAATTATGAATAGCTGAAAAGTAGAAAAAACAACTAAATAGCGGCGTATGATATGCCGCGGGTCGGCTCGTACTAAATATATAATAAGTACGTTAACTAAATATGATAGGAGTCGTAAATTGGTATATACATTCACCCAACCAAATATCTAATACTTTTTACCTAAGCGATATAAATAGTTCGCACTGCCCATTAATATTCTAACCGAACGTTGTAATATCTTGCCATAAAAATATCAAATCGAAATACAAGTAGAAATATTACAATAAATATATCCATTTATAAGGTCAATTTAATGTCAAACATTGATTATAAATAACTTAATTCGATCTTCGGGAATTACCTTAAACTGAAGCAGAAAAAAAATCCACAATGGCATCCCCCTTTTCATCGTTGTCAACTAATCACATAATGGTGTTATTAGTTAATTCCCTTTAGTTTTTGGGCGGTCGTCTCCCTTGACAGCATTCCTCTGCCCACATTAACTCCGGCCCCTGAAGTGGAAGTCTAGTGGGCAGTCGGCTGAGCTGGATCAGACGGGTCTTAGTCTGTAGACTCGACTTGGTCAATATTTACACCAGCCGTCTTAGGAGGGGTCACTCAATAGGTTCATTTCATTCCTGGGATTTAGCCGCCCATCCATCAATCAAGCATATAATCATTATATATATATATATATATATATATATATATATATATATATATATATATATATATATAATGTTTATATTCGTGTATGTGTTTTGGAAAACGGTTTATTTTGCTGTCAGTATTGGAAGTAGAAGCCCATATTATGCTACCAGTAAGAAATGGCTGCTATAGATTTAACCCCAGTATGAGCGACCCCTAGAGACCCCTAGAGAGAAAGGATTTATGACGTCTGCATAAGAAGTGGGTCATTGCTTAATCACAAGTATACACATTAACTTTCTGGCATTCGTACAGAGATAGTATACACAGAACCACCCACATACACACACACGCATACATATTTCACATTAACTTTTCTGCACTCTAATAAAAAGGAAACACACATACCACTTTACACATACATCACAGCCCTACAGCCAGACAGGGGCTGTACCCACTGCCAGACATTTGGAGCTTTAAAAACTACGGCATGCAAATTTTCCCGTTGAAGAAGATACACCACGGAGTTTTCCGCTGAAAATAACCGGATGGAAATTGTCCGATTGAAATCCGAGGGACTAAACTCTCCCGATCAACGAAGTGAAAACCGGCTTTAACCAGAGCACTCGATTTTCTGGCGAGTTTTTTTTTCTTTGGAGAAGTTAATAAAATAAAATAAAAAATGAGATAAAAATGTGAAATCACAACTTGAAACTTCCGGGGAACTCACAAGTACCACTAACGTGAGGGGACACAATCTGCTCTCCCCCTACCCCGCCCCTTAACCCAAGGCATTCGAGTGGACTCGGCACCGCGTGAGCCGTAAGGGAGATCTTAAGTGTAACTTTATTAAAAAGTTGCGTCACTTGAGCTCACTGACATCTATTAAAAATCAATGACCCAACATCAGAGCGGGTCTAAGGGGACAGAACTGTCCTGTGTGAGGGGACAAAACTCTCCTATCTGAGGGGACAAAACTGTCCTATCTAAGTGGATAGAACTCTCCCACCTAAGGGGATAGAACTCTCCCGCGTAAGGGGACAGAATTCTCCTGCCTGAGGGGACAGAACTCTCCTGTTTAAAGGGACAGATATGTCCTGTTTAAAGGGACAGATATGTCCTGTTTAAAGGGACAGAACTGTCCTGTTTAAAGGGACAGAACTCTCCTGTTTAAAGGGACAGAACTCTCCTGTTTAAAGGGACAGAACTCTCCTGTTTAAAGGGACAGAACTCTCCTGTCTAAAGAGACAGAACTCTCCTGTCTAAGGGGACAAAACTCTGTCTAAAAGGACAGAACTCGGAGATTACGGTCTGACTTGGTCCATGAGTTGATTCGGCTTTGTTTAGTTAAGTGAGTCTCGCCGGAGAGTTCTGGTTTCTCTGTAGACGTTTGGGTTATCCGGCTTTGTTTCATTTCCGAGGATTCAGAGGTCGATGGTGTTTTTTTGGTGGTGTTTGAAATAACAAGAGGATCTGGTGTTTTAACTCGTTTGAAAAGATTGTATTTGTTAGCTTAGTACTTTGGTCAAGGACTTTTCTCTAGGTGTTTTTTTTTTTTTTTAACTTGACGCTTTGGAAAGTCGAAGTACTTTAGACAGAAATAGTACGGGTTTATGTAAAAACTGCACCACCTCAGCCCTCAACCTCAGAGATATAACCATTAACAGCTTTAAAAACTGAGTTCTATTCTTCCCTCATGTAATTGTCTGTAATTTTGTATTTTATGTTTGGGGTGAATTGTGTGTGACGGTGGAGTACCTGGCCAATGGAAGTGAATGGGTGAGCGATCAATCACTCAGAGGAAGCTGGTTGTTTTGACTGTTAGAACTTAAAATGCATCCAATATTATGCCCTAGATTTCTATCTTGTGTACTCATGCCCTTCAATTATAAGTGCTATATTAAACGATGGATGTTTGATTACTGAAATGAACTGGATTCATCGTGGACTGTATTATTTTAAATAAAGTTCAATGAACCAACAGCTTATCGTCTGTCCTTAAAGAAAGAACACACAAGTCCATATCAGAGGCGTAGCGAGGGGGGGGGGGTGCGGGGGTGCGGACTGCATCGGGTGACATCATTTAGAGGTGTAAATCGAAAGTTTGAGTGGGGGGTGCAAATCGAAAGTCTAAGGGGGGGGGGGGTGCACAAATCGAAAATTGAAAATTTGTCCCAGGGAAGGGTCTTTACGCCTCTGGCGGGTGACACCATTAAATGCCGCACCGGGTGACACCCGACCTCGCTACGCCACTGGTCCATATTTAGTCTAAGGTATACACACTTAGTCTAAGGTATACACACTTAGTCTAAGGTATACACACTTAGTCTAAGGTATACACACTTAGTCTAAGGTATACACACTTATAAAAATAAACCATGACAGACCTTTATTGGTACATTTCATGACACACCTATTGCTCCACATTCTCACCTCTTCCCCATCTGATTACATACGAGTAACCCCCCCCCCCCCCCAATCTTGTCCGTTTGTTTACACACCTACCCTAACCCCACTCAAACACGCACACCTCAACTTAACCAATACAATTATCAACATCTCCCCAATGAGCCCAAAAAACAACTGATATACACCTTCTACTGTGCACACCTCTCTTTAAAATATTATAGAAATTACTTAGCTAACGCTAAACAGAAAATATAAACAACCCTTTACAGACAATATAAACAACCCCAACCAGACAATATAAACAGCCCTAAAGAGACCTTAACAGCCAATATAAACAGCCCCTAAACAAAAATATAAACAGCCCCTAAATAAACAGCATTAGGAATTGCCTCTAAACAAACAGTAAAGCACCTGCCAAAACTTAATGGAATCCACACATCTTAAGAACATTTAAATTTAATCAATCTCAACAAATTTTAATCCAATTAACATAAATTAATTAAATTAATCTCAACCCATTTAAATGAAATTAATCTGAAACTCATTAATAACGAGAACCCCTGCTCACTTCCAGTTTTGAGAGTTCCAACTTTTCTCAGACATGCGCATTCTAAAACCGGAAATTAACGCATTGGCATTATAATTTGTTTTCCGAGTTAAGCGCGCTGAAAATAAATATTTTTGAAATTCTTGCAAGACAGAGAACTTTGATGCTGAAATGTCATCTCTGTTTAGATATTCCAGAATTTTAATTTGTAGTTGCCAGTGAAAGACATCGGCAAGCAACAAACTGTTTCTCGGTACGCAACTTAGCTTTTTTATCTGGCGGTAACTACACCATTTATGAAAGCATGCTTGTAGATTGTTTTAACAGAGGAGGGGGAGGGGGTGCAGGGTTGGAGAAGACGTTGTATAGTGAAGACTGCTGTGTCGAGCTAATGTACAAAATTTTGTAATGGAACTTTTGAAATGAACAATCCGAAATATATTATTATAAGATAAAAGCAGATACATTAATTTTTAAAAAGGGTTTTAAAAAGAAAAAGAAAAGCTGAAGAAATTAGTAAAAATTGTTTTTTAAAAAAAGCTTACCAGTGATCTGTACCAAACTGGCAATACAAAGCGTCAGCAAAAGTTGCCAGAGATGCTCCATTTTGATTGGTTCTGTCTGTTCTTCCTGTCATGCGCACACGCTCCTAAGCTATGTTTAATAATCCAAAATTGGCCCCGGTTGAAGACGGCTGGTCGCTGTGAGAAAATAAAATAAAACGATGAAACGGATTAATGGCGTCAGTGGGGAGAGGTGTGTGTGGGGGGGGGGGGGGGGGCTTGAAATGTCATGGGAGAAACAAAATGGCCTGTATGATGGAGATTGTGTTAAATACAATATATCAGTTATCCCATACCCAACTCCATATATTGCACCATCACAACTTGTACGTCGAAATATTTAAACTGCCACGTTGTATGTGACAACTGTTTACTCAGGGATGTTCTACAGTTAGGTACCCATTAGAGCTGAGTGGACTCAGGCACGTCCTACGGTCAGGTATCCATTAGAGCTGAGCGGACTATAGGACACGGCTGGTATTGTCTGGCCTAGTCTATATAGATTTTATAAACACGCCAAGGTAGTCCAGCTGAGCTGTTACAAGTTGGTGGGGAGACAGTTGAGGTCCACACACGCCATTTACCACACACCACTGACCACACACTATTTACCACACCATTTACCACACATACCACACAAAACTTACCACACACCACACGACACTCACAAGACACAAGTCACATGAAGAAAAAAAAAATCTATACGAGTTAGTACACGTACGGTATTTTTAGAAATGAAAATCAACAAACACGAAATAAACTGTTAATTGACATGACGTCATCTCATTCTAATTCTAATTCATTAAAAGCCTTCTGGCCATAAACACATTGACCTAATTAATGTTCAATATTTGTGGCAGTTTTATTATCCAGTTTACCACATTTTCATTCTTGGTTGTATAGTTCAATATTTGTGGCGGTTGTACCAAGTCTACCACATTTTCGTTCTTGATCATATAGCTGTTTGGTTCTTTTTCCAATTATTTTTGTTTGGTAGCCACGAAAGTCGTTTAATTAATTACTTAATTACAGTATTTGATTATCTGGGGGTTTTTAAGGAATGTTATGTTGACCCCAGATTTTAACCCCCCCCCCCCTCCCCCTCTCTCGTCTTGTACAAAGAGCATGTCATTCGTTAATTTATGACAACCAATTAACCGCCTTTGTCTTTAGTCTTATGGGCTGTTTAATTAGTCCCAGACTTGATGGATTAGTTCCATGTTCAATTAGCCACATGATGTAATCGTTACACGCCTTATTAGCCACGTGACGTGACTGGTTGATGTTTATCAAAGTACCGTGAAAATCAAACAGGTGTAAAGAAAACGACAATCTAATGATATCGTGACAACTTGTTTATTATAAAACTACAATAAAGGACGCCACGCCAATTTTACAACATCGTTACCACATAATATAAAAAAATCATGTTACAAAAAAATGACAATCAAGTTATAATACAAACATGTAATCAGTCATTTTCATGAAAGCTTTTTTAACGAATTACTTGATCTCGCTAATCTGCATTGATGGACGTGGTCGTTTATTTGTATGCCCTTATCGTTTATTTGTATGCCCTAATGTAGTTACTTGTCACTAATGCATTTTTATCTTCCTAATACGGCCATAATTTCATGAGTTTTTCCATAACAAGTGTTTAATTTCGTAACTGTTTTTAAAGAATTACATTAGCTTTATTTTTGTGTGTATATAGGCCTATATAACTTTGATATATTTTTATGAAATGTGGACAATAAGAAACCAACATCTATATTTTTATTTCTATGTCGAATTCAGTGGGTTTTTTAGGGCGTGCAGTTTTTGTAAAATGTAATTATTCTAGTTTATTGCGGTTGTTAGACAATTCAAGTATAGTACAATAGTTTATAATATTGTAATTTATTTATAGTATCGTAAATTGTATTTCTATTGTTAGTCAGTTATATATAAAAAAAATTACATAAAGGCATTAGACGGGTATATTTCATTTGGTCGTACTCGGTGATGTTAGTGAACGTTAGATTTCAATGGTGTATGCCTGATCTCAACGGTGTATGCCTGATCTCAACGGTGTATGCCTGATCTCAATGTTGTATGTCTGATCTAAATGTTGTAGTTCTGATCTCAATGTTGTAGTTCTGATCTCAATGTTGTATGTCTTATATCAATGTTGTATGTCTAATCTCAATGTTGTATGTCTGATCTCAATGTTGTATGTCTGATCTCAAAGTTGTATGTCTGATCTCAAAGTTGTATGTCAGTCTCAATGTTGTAGTTCTGATCTCAATGTTGTAGTTCTGATCTCAATGTTGTATGTCTTATCTCAATGGTGTATGTCTTATCTCAATGTTGTAGTTCTGATCTCAATGTTGTATACCTGATCTCAATGGTGTATGTCTGATCTCAATGTTGTATATGCGAACTCAATGTTGTATGTCTTATCTCAATGTTGTAGTTCTGATCTCAATGTTGTATGCCTGATCTCAATGTTGTATGTCTGATCTCAATGTTGTATGTCTTATCTCAATGTTGTAGTTCTGATCTCAATGTTGTAGTTCTGATCTCAATGCTGTATGCCTGATCTCAATGTTGTATGTCTGATCTCAATGTTGTATGTCTGATCACAATGTTGTATGCCTGATCTCAATGTTGTATGTCTGATCTAAATGCTGTATGCCTGATCTCAATGTTGTATGTCTGATCTCAATGTTGTATGTCTGATCACAATGTTGTATGCCTGATCTCAATGTTGTATGTCTGATCTCAATGTTGTAGTTCTGATCTCAATGTTGTATGCCTGATCTCAATGTTGTATGTCTGATCTCAATGTTGTATGTCTGATCTCAATGTTGTATGTCTGATCTCAATGTTGTATGTCTGATCACAATGTTGTATGTCTGATCTCAATGTTGTATGTCTGATCTCAATGTTGTATGTCTGATCACAATGTTGTAGTTCTGATCTCAATGTTGTATGTCTGATCACAATGTTGTATGCCTGATCTCAATGTTGTAGTTCTGATCTCAATGTTGTATGTCTTATATCAATGTTGTATGTCTGATCTCAATGTTGTATGTCTGATCTCAATGTTGTATGTCTGATCTCAATGTTGTATGTCTTATATCAATGTTGTATGTCTGATCTCAATGTTGTATGTCTGATCTCAATGTTGTATGTCTGATCACAACGTTACCAGTTTAAAAAAAAAATTTCTCCACATATAAAGAAATGTTTTTAAAAAAATATATTTTTATCCACACCCAGAAAAAGAAAAGTTTTAAAAAATATTTTCATTAGCTCTGTATTAATTTTTTCAGCCCTGCCCCCCACGCTATTTTTGTAATGCCGTGCGGGGTGCCTCCACTGTATTCACGGTCTAATCAGATTTTCATTGAACAGTTGACAGACTGGAAGGTGGCGCGGACCTACAAGACGTCTCGGGTCATCCCATAGGTGGGTGTAGGTGTACTGGGCTAATGACCGTCATAGAGGGCTAATGATCGTCATAGAAGAACTAATAATCGTCATAGAGGGCTAATGATCGTCATAGAGGGCTAATGATGGACATGTAGAGCTAAAGATTGTTATATAGGGTTAAGTTTATCTGATAAGTGGCGTATGTGATACTGGGCTAATGATTATCATACAGGGACTTATTATCAGCATAGAGGGGCTAATATTATCATCATATAGGGCTAATGATCATCATATAGAGCTAATGATCATCATATAGGGCTAATGATCATCATATAGGGCTAATGATCATCATATAGGGCTAATGATCATCATATAGGGCTAATGATCATCATATAGGGCTAATGATTATCATATAAGGCTTAATGATCATCAAATAGGGCTAGTGATATCTTATTTAGCCCACTACATGACAGTTATTTGCCCCTAAATGGCGGTCATTAGCCCTCTACATAAGAATTTTTAACCGGCTAATGTTCGTATTTATATTTCTCAAAAAAAAAAGGCTTTAGCCGTCTGATATTTAATAGCCGTCTAATATGACGTATTTGGCCGTCTACACATCCATAAATCAACATCATCCCATCCGAGATTTTCCTCTCTAGCTCTCTCTTACCGTGTTATCGAAATTCCTCTTTTCCTCACTCTCGTGTCATTGAACCTCCCAACCCTCTCTCCAACCATCTCTCCAACCCCTTCTCTACCCTCAACACCCCCGCCCCCACCACTCTCTTTAAAGATTGCTCAAGTGAAATTTTCTTTACAAAATGGGGGAGACAACCTATAACAATTTTTGCCGCTTTTAATAACATTAGACCCCTTTACGTCCGCGTTCAAGTTTAGCAAAAGAAAAAAAAACAAACTCTCATTACATTTTTTTAGACACAGAGATTAGAATCATCAAATAACTCGATTGGATGATTTTTGTTCTTGGATGAAAAAATACACCAGAGAATGGGTTGAAGCTTTGGGCTGTTATTTTTAACTCAATGTGATTTAAAAAAAAACCAAATGTCAGCATTTTCAGATGGAGGCGTCAAAATTGGCGGCAAGTTCAGATCGACGCAGGGTTAACCCTGGCTATAATTAGCACTTTTTAGGAGAGAAAAAAATTATATTCGAGATGGACCGTAAATGTCGTCGTGACTAGCACCTACCCCGGATGGTCGGGGAGAAACTTGACGTCTAATGGTAAACAGGTAGTGAGCAACGTGTATTTTGTGTGAAGGTGTTCTGAAAGTCTTATAGCGCGTTTACACTTGCGACAAGTATACTATACAAGTCTAGAAAAACAACTCGCATCAAGTTAGTGTACATGTTTTGTGAGAAATTGTTTTCATACAAAATTAACTTGTGAGTATTTCGTCCTAGAAATGGATGGTATACAGAAGTGTAAGGATGGTGTTATACAAAGATATATGTATTTTACAAAGTGACTGCGCAGCAAGGTCAAAACTACTAAGCGGTTTAGGCGGAACTTTGGTGGGAGGGGAGAATCAAGAATTGCGACGCCTCAACATTTAAGGGTAACTCTATGTCGCATCAAACAATTCTGTAATATAATAATGTAACAATAGTTAATTGCAAAGCATTGGATGAAACAATAGTTAATTATTGGTGCAACATTAATCGATGCAACAATAATTGACGCAACACTAATTGAT